TGTTGGCTAGGTCTGATGTTTCTGGCGGAGGCACGTAGAATCGTCGTAAGCATTTGGCCGGAGTATCTAGATGATCGGCATGGCGCGCCAACAGATCGACAACGACGCTGCGGTCACCCCTCCCCAGAACGGATATCAGGAAGGAGAGGAAACTGTAAACGACGTAGGCTGTGACAGCAACAAGATGACAAGCACAATGGATTAAATTAGCAAAGTCGAATGCGAGGTACACAATATGAATAAAACAATTTTTCAACGTTTTACATACCTTCGTAGAAATCCTTGATAATGGAAAGGTACCCTTCTGTCATGGGTAGCAGCAGACTGAGAAAGCTGGTGACACTGTAAATTGGACTCATCCAAAGAATCGCCAATATTTTTCTTTGCACGATGGGTTCCACCATGTTTCTCACATGAACGGCCATGTGAAAGGCGGATATGAGACATGTCAGGAGGGTGAAGGTACCTGCTAGATTGTAGACGGTATACGACTTTTGGTCTTCGACTTGCACGGCCAATTCTTGGATTTGTCCTGCTTGCTGATCTTGCACTTGCCTCTGTAGATCCATTATTTGCTTTTCTTCCAGTTGCAATTTGTAGGTTACGTATTGAAGTTGAAAGAATAGAAAGGCTACCAGCAAGCCCATTCCCACTAGACCCACCGCATTGCAAAAGCTAATCAGCGGCAGCCAACACGACCTCATGCGACTGCGACGGTTTAGCGAATTGAAGACTCCGCCGGAAGGCGCTTCTGCCGTGATGGAGGCTAGGTCGTCGTTGTCAGTACTCATGCCGTATCGATACCGGTAGCTGACTGCTGCTGCGTTTGTTGCGTTCTTCTTGCTTCTTTCGTGTTGTTGTGAATGGGTTCTCGGAATGCTGGAGGCTTCGTTGTGTTGTGAGCACTTCGACGAAGGTGTCGAATGCAGACGGATGCCGTTGCCGTTGTTCCCAGTACGAGTCCGGTCGAGTCGTGTCGAATCGAGTCGTGAGCTTGGTTGAGCATGTGTGCGGCCTTTGCTATTTCACCAAAGCTGTCCGCGTGTAAGTTTATTCGAGGCCACAACCACCATGACCTCCACCGCAACCATGGCGACGGCATCGACCACAGCCGGTCCCACCTTCAAGACAATCGCCACGCCGACAGCTTCGGAGCTGCTGTTTGCAGACGACACCTCGTCGAAGCGCTTATACTGGGATCGCTCCTTCTATGATTCCATCGAAACGCAGAAACGGGTGCTAGCGGAAAGCGCCACTCTTTACGTGGGCAATCTGGCCTTCTCCACTCGGACGGCGCAGATTCGATCTCACTTTGCCATGGTAGGGAAAATCAAACAAATCCATATTGGGCTCGATCGGCACAAGAAGACGCCCTGTGGATTCTGCTTTGTAGAGTACTACGATCGAGCATCCGCACTATCAGCAGTTGCAAATCTCTCAGGATCAAAGCTGGATGGCCGCATTATCAGGGTCGAGTTGGACGCGGGATTTCATCCTGGGAGACAGTACGGAAGAGGACGATCTGGAGGGCAAGTACGTGACGATAAACGAGCCACGGGACGAAGAGGATCGCAATCTAGTTTGGGAAGTAACAACAACAGTAGCGATCATTACGGGCCTGGAATGAAACGAGAGCGGGAGAATCCAGCTGTAGAGGGAGAACAGACGCAAGGTTCTTCCGCACCCGACGAATCGATGGAACAATCTGCCAAGAGACAAAAGATGGAGTAATGGCAAATCAACCCTTCAACTGGCTAGCCGTACATGTACATGGAACTCAACGGAAGAATTGGACAGACAAACAGAATCATTCTATCGCTCAATGCAGTTACTTTGGTCCTCTTGTTGTACAGTAGCGTCTGGGGATGCAGGCTGTGACTCGACTCCAAAAATTGCTTTCCATGGTAGCAACGAAATCGCAAATGTTTTGCATCCCGAAGAACAAGTCTCTACCGTATACTAGTCTAGCTAGGTCCGATATTAGTAAAATACCGTAGGTTCATGATAGCTAGAGTATACCTTGCTACATGTAGTAGCAAGTATACCCAGATCAGAGCAGCCAACCAGGTTGAATAAATAGGTACGGTACCCGTGCTGTATCCCTATTCAAAGTGATCCAGAGACGGTCGGCCGATGATGAACTACCGGTACCAGTGCATCTATCGTCACTACATCAGCCCTCCTTCACATCAGCTACTGGAGAGCCCCTGAAACGCCGCGGTTGTATTATACGTAACATTTTCACTATGTATTCTACAGATCATACGTATTACACATATAACATTTTTAATATGTATTAGACAAGTTATACGTATAACACAGATAACACAAGTGGAACAATATTATACGTATTACATGTATTATGTGTTTTACGTATTTGACGTATTACATGTATTATGTGTTGTACGTATTTTACGTATAATACACAACGACGAATTTTTGCTAAGTTTTTTTGCCAGGTGTTTTCTTGCAAGGTGTTTTGCCAGGTGTTTGGGAGGCAGAGAGGAAGATTCACTGTTGCAGGCCATAAATACCTGACAGCTTATCAAGTAAAATGGACTCTTACCTAACTGAACTCTCCATGTTGCTAGATACAATATCAATGAAGAAGAATGGACTCCTGCTCCATCATTGTGAATGTAGAACCTCACTAGCTGATGATACGCCAAAGGAGAATAAACATTATGGATACTCTGGGGTTCGATAATTATCGAATGGAGAAATCGACGTGTATTGGCTACCTTCGATGTATCAAATCTTGTGATCCGGCGCATATTAAAGAAGTTTTGATGCATACTTTGTACTTCCTTGCAAGACTGCTGGATTCCGCATCAAAAACAAGGGATTTGATAAGAGGCGAATCACATTACCATATGTTGTTCCAAGGAGTCGTTTTTACAAACAAAGGTCCAAAGGACAGCAACAAAACCACCCAGCACTTCCTGTTGAGGGGGAGGGTGTCAAATGTCCATCTCTTTCAATGTTCTATAGTGTTAAGTACTCATCTTGCACAGAAGCCGTTACACAGCGGAACAATGCCTAAAGAACACCTCTCGCCAAGTGTTGTTAAGACTTTACTTTATGAACGGACAGGCTCATCTCTAACTTCGAAACAAATCGAATCTCTAAGGAAGGACCAGGATTGTCAGGGCCAAAGGGAATCTCCTCCTCAGATTCGTCATCCTTCTCTCTTCTCGAGCAACGTCTTCTCCAGCGTCTTGCCCACCATCTTCATCGTCAGAACCCGACATGATGCCTAAACGAAAATACTAATGAAGAAAACGAAAATATGTGAGACAACAAACACGGGTAACATGCACAATACGACCAACACAGGTAATACGTATAACACGGTAATACGTATAACACAGGTAATACATATAACACAGGTAATACGTGTTATACGTATAACACAGTTAATACGCACAACACAGTTAATATGTTATAACACGGGTAACACATATAACACGTGTTGCGCGCTTGGGTACTTACAGGGGTTCAGTACTGGTCCTACAGGAAGTGTTGACAATGGAAAATCAAGGCCAGATCTTCCAAGGCTTCGTCAGTGAGCCTTCAGAAGTATATGAATGCAAAGAGAATGGTCCTGTGAGCTTGACAAAGCCTGATAAAGAGAGTGGGGCAGGAGAATGAAGAAGGAGTTGAATGGAGAGAATCCTTCTATCTTTCCACAAGAACAGTCTTCTTGGCTTCAACAAAACCATACCACATTGCCTACTTACCCAATGATGGTACTATCTTCAAATAACAACAGAAACCTCTGTATCCTTCAAAGCAACAAGAGGAGAGAGGTTTATCTCATGGTGTGTGTTGTGGAGATTGGTGGAGATTGGAGATTGGTGGAGATTGGTGTTGAAGCCATTTTGCGAAACGAACGGTCACGGTGGCTGGCTGCGACCGTGTAATACGTGTATACGTATTATACGGGAATACGTAGAATACGCATTGTACGTATTACATGTATTACATCGCGTGCGTTTGAGGGTCTCTCTACAGTGTACTGTGTACTGTACCGGTTGCCTTCACATCAATGAGGATCGTACCGGTACCAGGTACCGTTGCGCTTCGTTCGAAAAAGGCTGATGGTGGTGTTGAAAAGAGGTTGCTTATAGTGTTGTGTTACTACTTGGTTGTTGTGGTTGTGGTTGATTTTAGTAATCTGGTAATCTGGTAACTGGATAGTCATAAATCGCTACCACAGGTCATTTTGGTCCCCTCAAGCTAGAGGGGGATGTATCTCACGCTAGATTGCACTTGACATGGGAAAAACAGACTTCGGAAGTCTGAAACAGGATGTACCCTTGGGGCATGGCCCCTTGGAGGCTCAGACCTGCCGTTCACCAAACGGCCCACCCTATGGTCATGTTGCCTTTTTGCAGATTGTTAGTAGAGGACTTTCGAAACCAGTCGCTGCCTCACAGGCCCGTTCTGGATCTTCGTCAACATATCGGCCAAATTGCTCTCTGTATTCTCATATGTGATGTTTGCCATGCCTGCAGCGACCCTTTCACGGACATAGTGGTATGCGACCGAGTTGCTCTTTTTCTTCAAAGTAGACTCCGGGATGCTCGAGTTCTTGATCACGGACATGTTGTCCGCCTTGACATGAGCCGGGCCATCAAGGGGAACTCCCATCATCCTGAGCTTGTACCGCAAGCCCTCCACGATCTCGATTCCAACCTTCATCGCCGCGAACTCAGATCCAAAGGAGGAATTTCAATGGAGCCCTGCTTCTTTGCTGTACCAAATAATTGAGACATGTTAGCAAAGACGAGAACACCAGTACGCGAACGACGTGTCACCTTGTCCCCGCATGGTCAGAATCACAAACATGGTGATTTGGATTGGTTTGCCGAGAGGCTTCGCATGTCTGGAGGCAAAAGCTCTTTCGCATCGGCATAGAAATCACTCCAGTCAGGTCGCTCTGGTTCCACATGATTCACATAGGAAGATCAAAAACAAGGTGAGAACGACTGTGCTGCTTGAGATATTGCCAAGATATGAAAACAAGCGTCCAGGTGCCAACTCGTGGGGCTGCAAGTACGAAGCCATGATTGAACCTCGGTGCAGATGTCAATTCTCCCGAGTTCCACGGCCCATCGTAGCACTCCAATCTTCTGTTGAAAGTAATTTGTTCACTCGTCATCACAAAGGTTTGAAACATCCAACTCCGGGTGTAATTGCTCGGTAACACTGAAGTTGCTTTTGACTTGAGCGTCTTCCCACGTCGCTCGAGCCATGTCTCCACAATTCTGACAGCTTCCTTGACATACTGTTCAGATCCCATTGACCAACATGGTTTGTCAACGCCAGGGAGATTTTACTCCTTGACTGAAGCTCCAAGATACTGAGTTGGCTTTCCAGGGATCCTGGCTTCAGCAGGAAATGCTGATCCAGGTAGCAGAGTAAGGTATTTTGGTTAGTTGACAGGCAAAGGAGATCGTCTGTGTATACAAGATATACTCATAGTATTCCCTTCCATCAGCCTGGTGGCGGCACGAAACCAGACATCATTGTCTTCCTTACAAGAGGTGAACCCCAGGTTGTCTCGCAGAACATCAGCTAAGTGGGCCCTCCATGCTGCTCCACTTGATTTGAGGCCATACAGGGCCTTACGACCTTTGCTTTGCGTCCTCAAATGGGCCAAATTCCTTACCGCATGTGATAAAGATCTTTCTCGAACTGGGGCATTCAAATATGCGTTGCCAATATCAGCGCCAATATGTCCAGATCGTTCAGGGCTGCAATCAAGAAGGCCAGTCGTACACTCTCTCGACTGACAACGCTGGCGTAGGTGAGACGAAGGTGGATCGGTCATATGCCCCCAGCAACCAGACGTGCCTTCCTTGTAAAGTCCTTTTAACATCAAAGACCATGTACAACGATGTGAGTGTGCCGACTGGTCGGGGCATCTCTTCCAAGATTCAAAACTTTGCCGACGGCTGCCATCTCTTTCTTAATGGCATCATGCCAAAAGGTTGTACCAGTCTCCTTTTCAATCTCAAGGGCATGCCCACCGTTTTGGGAAGCTCAACCCCATATTTCTTTTCCTTGCGAAAGTAACGCTTCGCAACAGCAGAGATAATCCGATTCCGTTCTTGAGGGTGTAAGGGACCCACCAGAGAAAGCTGGCTCTGACTCCAAGCCATTGTTCTGTCATACTCTGCCGTCTGAATCAGAACCATCTTTCATGTCCTTAAGGGACTGCCATGAGGTGGTCCCATCCTTCCACTGGCACAAAGTTTCCACCCTTTGGTGGTTCGTCGCAAAGTCTTCCTGCCATTTCGATAGATGTAGGCGTCGTCCCCTGAAACAGCGTGCCATCCTTCGCATGGTCCAAGATATCCGCCAATTCAAACAAAGTGTAGCCATCATCATCCACCTGAGCATAGATAGACTCTGCAATGATGTTGGCCGAGTAGGCCTCGGTCTCGCCGCTGTCAAACTCCACCTCATAAAGGAAGTATCAAGCAATGGGTTAGAATTCGAAAGGCCAATCAGTTTTCCATCTGAGTTTCCTCTTGCGCTTGGTGACTGTGCCATAAGACATTTGGTCTCCCTGTGGGACACAAACACGAGTTGCAATGTACTTATCGAAGGCCTTTGTTGCATCTCATCTGCTTCTGACAACTCTGGCAGAGGAGCTGGTCACTATCATCAATTGGCTCATAATACTCTGGTATCTCTTCATCCTGACGAGATTCAGCATCATCACTGCTGGCCAAAACATAACGCTTGCCAAGGGACTTCTTCAAGGATTCTGTGAATGCTGCTTTCTTGGATTCAATCACCGGGCTCAGCTTCTCCTGTCTGATAAGGGGATGACAGATGTCCTAGAGACCAACTGGCCCTTCTCGGTGAGGATTCGGGCACACATAGCGTCCCCAATGTCAGTGCTGGGGCCACAGTACGACCAAGGCGCTTCCTTTCCATTGACTCGCCCCGTCTCTCAGGAGAAAGGTACCAAACCCAATCATACCATCCAAACTCACAAAAATGTGAGATGTCAGCAGTGTCCCCTGTCAAAAGAGTAGCGGAACTTGACCATCCAACTCTCGGATCGGTAATGCGGTATGACTGCGAGTCACCCGCAGAAGACGAAACACATGTCCAAAGGCATTCCAAGCTTCAGTAGTCGTCATTGTTCTTTCTGTAAGTTCTCTTCAGCTCTCGGATAGGTCTTCCGCAAGTTCTGGTTGGGTGTGTAAGCCTCAACTGGATGGATAGGGCACTGAACTCTTGTGCCTTTCGTCGGAACTCTCCCATGTAAGCTCCTTCGCGTTGTCTGGATCAAAACTCTTGGTATTCCATCTTCTGGAAAAGTGAATCTAAGTCAAGTGAGCCTCCGACTTTGTCTTCATCGGGTCAACATTGCACCAATGAAACGGTGTGCAGTAGACCTGGGCACCCTTGTTTCCCAGGAGGGAAGTGACCTTGCCGTAAACAGTGTCGGTACATTTCAACGTTGAGCCGAGGATATCTGAGTTGATACGCCAATGGCTTCATCCTCCGTCCTCCACTCGCGTGGGTGAAATCCCGAACCGCTCGCTGAGTTGTGTTCGCGATGGTTTTCTTGGCTGCTTCCAACCCAATATTCCACCGCTTTGGCAAGTGCTTCCGCTGACACGGCTCCCTTCCTGGTAGGGGGTTTCGTCTTGGTAGCAGAGATCTTGGCCTGAAGGGCTGGCCCAAACTGTTGACGTCAATTGCAAAGGATGATCTTGATTCCAGAATTGACCTGATCGACTGAATTCCCTATTCCGTCCCCTTTCACTTGGCATGTCCGAATCCAAAGCGGCTCTGAGAGAGGACTCAGGTCAGCCGACTGGGGATCTTGAGGGTTCCAAGGAGATTCGGATGTTGTGAACATGAACGAAGTGATCTGGAGAATTGACTTCATGGGCGGTGGGCTTCCGAACTTGGAAGTATGAGATAACACCGTCAGTTGGAGTGGGATTCGTAGGTACCACAAATGATGGAGTGGGATTCATTGGTTCTGTCTTAAACGGTAGGTGCAACAGTGGCACATCGTTGACAACTAACTGGTGATGTCGCAGCTGAGCTGGACAAATGAGATTTTCTGTAATGACTTGATAAGCAAAGATTGATGAAAGAATAAAATATAAATTTGAGATGTGAGTGGGTCTCATAAGCCACAGCCACAGTTACAATTGGTACTTCGTGTATGTTCCAAGATCAGTTGAAAACCCTTCGACGGATATAGTCTCTCCCGTTCATGTACCACGTAAGCACTTTCCCCAAAGGAACATTATCGGCATGGCTGTCAAGCTCAATCCGAGATGATGGCAAATGAGTAGCAACGGATCGCAGGTGCGAACACCGAGACTCATGCTCGCATTCATGCATTGCCCACGCTAGATCACCAGGAACATCAGTCCGGATCGTTCTCGGCTTGCATTCCGAGACTTGGGACTGGGTATCTGCAACTGTTCTTCAGCTCGGCAATCTTCCGCTTGTCCCATCGCGGGCGTCCCTAGCCTGTTGCTGCTGCGCCGATGTGACTGAGCCCACTCATCGGGTGGTAATATCTTCCTGGGTTATTGGGGTCAAAAACCCGGCCTTCATGGCCTCTACCAGGCCTCGTCCCCTGCCTCGGCCTCTTCCAGAGCCTCGGCCTTGGGATCTACCACCGCCACGTCCTCGTCCTCTTCCACCACCGCCTCGACCACGGCCAGACACAGATGAAATATTTCTTTGGGTCGAGTGGGTTCAGCGACATCAAGTTGCTCGGCTAAGTAATTCATAGCTCCTGGAAACTCTCGCGTAGATGCGGAGTTGCTTGAATGACGGATTGGCGGTTTTGAGGTTTGGGTCTGTAATGCCGGACAGAAGCTTGCGATCTTGCGGCTCTCAGTAAAGTTTCACCAGCGGTTTCCAGATCGTGAAGGCCTTGTAAGCCTTTCACAGTAGCGCTCAAAAGTGAAGTTGCGGGACTTCCCATCAAGAAAGTAGTTTCAATGGCTCTATCCGCGAATGCCTTGGTACAGCCTGGAACGAATCACCAAGATATGAACCTTCATGGCCAAGTAAGCTGCTCGACCGTTCTGTTTCGCTGCACAACGTTGGACCCATGTCCAACCAGGTCCACCGTAGTAACCGACCGAATGATGGCCCAAACAGCCTGATTGTTTGTACGAAATGAGGTCCGCATGTCTTGTTCTTCGGACCAATTCTTCAGGTGCGATGGAGGCCAAAACTGGGTCAGCCTCATCTGCGTGTCGGTATCAAGTGCTCCTTGCAAAGTGACTTTGGATCTCGTAACATAACCAGAGGGGCACCGCAAACGCCCGCTTGACATTCAGAACATTGTCAATAGACTCCAGAAACCCGCATCCATACTCTCTCTTTTTTAATAAGAGTAGGCTGCCGAAGACCGAAGACCATGCAATGAACTACAATGGCTGGCCGCAACAAAGTGTGGTTGTTCATGTTTGGCTTGACCTACTCGTTGAGTGCCTTTATCCTGTTGTTTGTCTATGAGACATACTTTCGAAGCCTCGTGGTCTCCCAATTTTCCTCCGATTCTTTCGAGAGTCGTGGGGCGGAACACTTGACAACACCTCGGCGACGAAAAGCAACCGTGGCCTCTGGAAACTTCAGTTCTTGGTCATTTCAAAACCGTAATCGAGAACAAAAGAGACCAAACAGGGTTATTCCAGTTTCTCAAATCGAAAATGTGCATACTTGTACGCTTCACAATGATACCATTACACTTCCCATGGCTCCTGATGTCATTCTTGCCGGAGCCATGAAGAGTGGAACCAGCTATTTTTGGAACTTGCTGAGAAAGCACCCAGAGTTTATCCCCTCCAGGAAGGTATGTCAATTTTGTCGTCGCTGTGTATTGAGTTAAGATCAGGTATCTGATCCCTTTTTTCTCATATTACCTCTGCCCTCTGCCTCCAATGAACCATATTCAGTTCGAAGCACATTTCTTTGATTGGCAATTTGCAGTTCCTCCCAAAGATCTTGAAAGTCACGAATTCTGGACGAGGTTCGATGAAACTGCCAAGACGAGAGAGGAACAGATGTGCGCTGCTAGGAAACGGTACATCGACGACAACTTTGACCGTGAACAACTCTTGCGGATGAGGTACAACAGAAACAACAATCGACGAGCAAAACTGACTTTCGAAAAAACACCCAATTACATGTTCTTGCCGCAGATTCCTCGACTAGTCCACAAAATATGCCCGTGGAATCCCAAAATCGTTCTGATACTACGAAATCCCGTTGACAGAGCCTACTCTCACTTTGTCATGGACAGCGAAAAGGATGCCGTCAATCTCTCATTCGAGGAATACATCCAGCTGGAATTAGACACGATGCGACACTATGGCTTGACGAATGTGCCGAAAATACCCGTCGAAGAATGGGGAAATCTCGATCACGCCGATCACCGCCATCTTTTTCAAGTGCCTGAAACCAACATGACAAGGGACGAAGTGGATCATGCCGATTGGATGGTATATCGACAACGACATATGCGCAACTATTTGCAACGGGGAACATATAGTCTGCAATTGGAGCGGTGGAAGGAACACTTCCCACTCAATGAAAGACTCCTTGTACTTGACAACGATCGCCTTCTCAAGGAACCCCGAAAAGTCATGGGTGAGGTATTGGCTTTTCTGGAGGCTCCCAGACCAGACTTCTTCGCCAATGAATCCGTCCCAGTGGACACCTCTGAAAGCGAGAAGATGAGACACGCTAGAGTCAAGGGAATTTCCAATCTCTTGTCAATTGGTGGGTATGATCCTATGGCGAATTCGACGAGGCGGTTTTTGGAAATGTTCTACAAGCCATACAATCAGCAAATCGTGAATGTGCTGGGTGAAGAGTGGAGAGGAGTTTGGGGTTGATTTCATGCTTTCTCCTGTGCTCGTTGCGGCGCCGTACGGTACCTACAAACCTATCATAGCCGCACAGCGCAGCTGGCTAGGGGTTTACTATTCGAGACGAAGCTGATGTTCAAAGGTTTCTGAAGTCACTTGCGCGAGCTCCATGCAGATTCTAACGCGCCCCGAGAACTTTTGCAAGCACGCTAAGACGAGCTGTAACCGTACAGAACGGGACTCTTGGGTGTTATTACGGTTTGCTGGGTCTTTTCTTGCCTGCGCAGTCGAAAGCTTATTGCTAAGGGCACTGTCTACCGGAGGTGACTAAACGCGCGCTTAAAGATTGTTTAAGACTGGTATTTAATCGTGTGTTTAGTCGAAAAGCTTTAAGATCGTCAGTGTCTACCGTGTTTCGACTAACCATGCACACTAACGGTTAGTCGTGAGTTTTGTCGAAAATTTTAGACTGATCAGTGACATACGCACGTCTATGACGTGGCGCTTTAACGCTAGTTTTTAAGTCTAATCTCACAATATTCCGATCGTAGTTCACTCTGAATTCAGAAGCAAGTTCGGTTGGAATTTGCAAATCAAGCAAAAGAAACTTCCTGCGTACATTCTACGCAGCCGTATACTAGGCGTTTGGCCATTGTCAAACAATTTCGAAAATTCACTCGATTTCTATTAACAACGGTAACTCAAGGGTGTAACTCAAAACGAAGTTACTCCTTTTTCTTTCATTATCATTACTTGCGACTATTACTAACACAAAGCCGCAAGTACTGTTGTTTGTTATTTACCTTTAGGTTTACTGCC